CAAATGTCAATTCTGGAAATCCTCCAACCAAATATGACTTCATTCAAAAAAAAAAATGACTTCAGCACAAATTATTACATTTCCCAACCTAATCTAGATAATAATGATTCGTTAATAACATATTTAGTAACATAAATAGCCTCCTTAAAATTACATTTTGGCTAAGCTGTTAAGCTATACATGATTTATAAGCCCAAACACCGTCTTAATAGGTGAACAATTTACTTTTGTTGCCTCAGCAACCAAAGCGAAACGAAACGAAAGACTTAAGACACAAGCACCTTAGTAACCCAAACAGAAATGTTTCTAAAAAGTGTTCCCGTTTAAACAACAAGAAAACTCTGCCCCCAAACAAATTCAGCTATCCATCCTAACGAGTACAAAGTCTACGAATGTGGCTTTAATCCACTAACGGTAAATAATCATAATAACAGTATTTTTCGGGCATTATTATTATTTATGATGCCATTATTATATAGTTTGTGTGTGTGTGAGAAAGATAGAGAGAAGGCGTATAAAATGAAATACTGCATACCCGAGGCAGGCTTCAAACCAACAGAAGTGTTAACAATTTTTTGAAGTTAGAAATTTACAAAAAAATATTTGTTTTGAGACTTAAGGGCTACAATTAGAGTGCCAAAAAGGCATGGACATGGACAGGTATTGTTGAAGCAACATTAATTGCAAACTATGAAGATTTAAATTAGCCAAGAAAAAATTTTGATTGCACGAACCACGAAAGTCAGGCATTATACAATCTCAAAGAGTCTGATGGTTATAGAATGTATCGGTTGAAAGGTCAAATATATATTTAAATTATATTTGGAGATAATGTATTCATTTATTTTATGCAAATCAGCTACTAAAGGGTCCGAAATTTCAGTTTTTTTTTTACTAGTGCTTATTCCGCGAATGGTAACACTTTGCTCATGTCTGATTTAAAAGATATATAGTTTTATCCTTTCGCTGAACCAATATGAACATATATTGAAAAGCCTATGTACCCAGAACGGGTCACTCTTTGGTATGAATTTTTAACCGAGACATAATTGAGCCATTTCTCATCGAAAATGTTCAATAAGTGGCTGTTACGTTATCGGACATTTTGAATGAATTTTTGTACACAAAAATTGAAGAGGAGGATATTGGCAACATTTGTTTTCAAGAGGAGGGCCCTACTCGCTACACATCCGAAGCTACACTCAATTTGAAAAAAATATACTATATTTTTAGTAATCTTGTCTCTCATTCCAATATTTGGTTTTCCGTCACCTACAATGACCAATCAACGGAATCTATGTGCATAGGAAAATTTTACTTTCAAGGGCCACGAGATAAATAATATCTCAATAATTTGTTAAAATAATTTAAATTATAAATTCATAATTTTGCTTGAAAATTAATTTTTAATTATCAATGAACAACTGTAATACAGATGAGCTAAACAAGCCAAGTTGGAATAATGAATAATTAAATAATGTACAAAAACAATATAAGTTTTTCCAATTTATGACAAGCAATATTGTAATTTTTATTCAGAGGAAATTGGCGGGAGGAAATTTTACATTTAAAAACTATAACTGATATGATTAAAACAATAAAAACATCCGTTCCTTCAAATAAATAAAATATCCATGATTAGCAAGTGCCCGCTTCTTTAACAGTCCACCTTTTTTTTTACATTCGTTCCAACAGTTCGTGTTTGGTCTTTTACATAATTTGGTGCCCAGACGTAATCCCCATTGCAATTATAGTAATTATGTCCGGTTTTTTCTTTGGTCATAACGCCCATAATAAAGTGTGCTTTTTGTCCGCTTCCAAAATCCCATGAGGAGTATGACCGTTTGTTGTGGGACATAATCATTTTCGGACATAATCCCCAGAAAGAACACATGGCTGAAATTGAATTGAAGGCTATTCTCGTATAGGCCTGAAACCCGGTTTTCGACTCAAAAATTATACCTATCCAACAAGTGGTCGTGTGATGAGCTTGTTTGAAACGGTTCCGAGTAATACTTGAAAATGTTTATTCTTGTACCGGAACATTTTTAAAAATGTCGAAAATGGTCCCTTATGTGCTATTAAGATCTAAATACTACATTATAGCCTTTCAAGGTTTTATATTTTATTCAAGTTTTTCCTTTTTTAGGAAGAATAATATGAACATTTTTACCCTTTACACCAAATTATCCCCAGAATCTTTCAATTTAAAGTTTACCGAGGAAGATATTAGTAAAACCATAGCACAATGGGATCACATAAAATTTTTCTGTCAAAAACTATGTCAACGTCTACATATGTAATCCCTAGAAACCAATAGTTACCTAAATATTAAATTTCAGAATTTTAGCTCTATCCCTTTACCCAATACCAAAGTTAGTAACATTTAGTACGCATATCCAAAATAATCTACATCTCTCAATACTAGACACCAGCAGTTATCCAAAATTAGTACCATTTAGTACTTTTCCAACAATTATCGTACACATTTCTCAAACCTCCTCCATATCTCAGTTCCAGATACTAAAAGAGACTTCAATATTAAATTTGAGAGTTCCAGCTCTATTCCTTCACACAAAACCCAATTAGTACCATTTAGTACTTTTCGAACAATTTCAGTACATATTTCCAAAACCATCTCCATATCTCAACTCCAGCTATCAACAGAGCCCTCAATATCAAATTTCCGGATTTCAGCTATATTCCTTCACCTAATACCAAATTTTGTACCATTTGATACTTTTCGAACAATTACACAAGATATTACACATTTCCAAAACCACCCCCATATCTTAACTACAGACACCAACAGAGACTTCAATATCAAATGTCGGGAATCCAGCTCTTTCCCTTTACCCAAAATCCAATTCAGTACCACTCAGGTCTTTTCGAAAATTATGGTACAATATCAAATTTGAAAATTCCAGCCCTCTTCCTTCAACATAATCTCAAATTTAGAACTATTTAGTACTTTTCCTACAATTATAGTACACATTTCCAAACCTCTTCCATATCTCAATTCTAGATACCAACAGACAGCTCCGTATCAAATATCGGGATTCCAGTCCTATTCCTCCACCAAATACCAAATAATGTACCATTTAGTACTTTTCAACCAATTATAGTACTCATTTCCAAAACCACCTCCATTTCTTAACCACAGATACCAGCAGAGACATCTAAATCATATTTCAGGATTTCAGATCTGTTTCTTCACTCAATACTGAATTTAGTACAATTTGGTAATTTTCAATTCCAGATATTAAAAGCGACCTCAATATAAAATTTGAGGATTCCATCCATACCCATTCACTCAATACAAAATTTGGTACCATTTGGTACTTTTCGTATTAATATGGGAATCTTTCCAAAACACCGCCAAATCACAAACATAGATACAATCAGAAATCTAAATATCAAATTTCTGAATTTTTTCTCTATTATGTAACCTTATACCAAATTCTGTACTATTTAGTACTATTCGTATATTATAGTACACATTTCCAAAATCACTTCCATATCTCAATTCCAGATATCAACAGAGACAGAGAAATTTGGGGAGTCCAGCCCTATTCATTCATTCAGGATTTCAGCTCTATTTCCTCACAAAATAACTTAATGCTGAGTACTTTTCGAACAATTGTAGTACACATTTTCAAAACCACCTCGACATCTCAATACCAGATACGAACAGAGACTTCCACATCAAATTGAGGATTCCAGCCCTATCATCTCACCCAATATCAAATTAAGTACCATTTAGTAGTTTTTGTACAAATATAGTACACTTTTCCAAAACTTATAGTACACATTTCCAAAAATTATAGTACACATTTCCACCACCATATCTTTACAACAGACACCAACGGAGACAACTATATCAAATTTCAGGATTTCATCTACATTCCTTTACGCAGAACTAAATTTAGCACTTTTTGTTCTACTATTGTACGCATTTCCAAACCCTCTTTCAAATCTCAACACTAGATTCCAACTGTTATCTAAATATCAAACTTTAGAATTTTGCCTCGTATCTCTTCAACCAAGGCCATATTCAGTACCTTTTAGTACTTTTCGTACAATTATAGTACACGCTTCCAAAACCACCACCATATGTCCAGGCTACACATGAACCGTGTAATAATAAATTTGAGATTTCAAGCACTATCTGTTCACCCAATACCAAATATAGTACTACTTAGTACTTTTCGTCCACTTGTAGAACCCATTTCCAAAAAGACATCTTTATTATACACCTGCCACAAACTGGGACCCCAAATATAAAATTTTAAAATTCCAGCTTTATCCGTTCATCCTTGAATTTTATCTCTACCCCTTGACCTTATACTAAATATAGTATCATTCAGTACTTTTCGTACAATTATAGTACACACTTCCAAAAATTCCACCATATGTCCAGTTTACTAATAAAAATCCACCATAATACCAAATTATAATGTCAAGCACTCTATGTTCACCAAAAGCCAAATTGTACCAAATATTGCACTATTTAGTATTTTTCGTGCATTTGTGGTACTCATTTCCAAAACCACCTTTTTATCACAAACTTACCACTAGCAACCAAATCAATCATTTTCAAAATTGCAACTTCATCAGGTCTACCCTAAACCAAACTTTCCAAATTTAGTACCTTTAGTACTGTTCGCACACTTAGTACTCGTTTCCAAAAAGACCTTTATATATCAAAATTATTTTTCAATCTAGATTCTCATACCAAATTTACAGTTTCCTAGTTTTTTTAGAAATTTTAGTACCATTTTAGAACTTTTCGTAACCTTAAAGTTCAAATTTCCAAAAACACTTTGGTACATCTATCCTGCTCTCCATCAGTGGCTCTTATTTCAAATTTTAAAACTCTAACTCATTCCTTTTGTCCAATACAAAATATTCAATTTATTTGTACATTTTAGTACTTTTTGTATAATTTTAGTACGATATTGCCACATTTCTCTTACCATTCTCCATTTCTTCAATTCCAGGTGCCTATGTTCACCGGCCCATCTGCTGCGCATTCCCGAAGATCTCGAAGATAATGCCTCGAAAGCTTTGCAATTGGAGCGGGCGCGTTCGCTAGCCTCCTGCAATGGTGAGGAGAGTGAGGGAGCCAAGGGTTTTGATGTCTGCCCACCGAGCAAATATCGTCTACCCACCGGTGAATGTAACAATGTGTCGCATCGCAAATGGGGTGCTCGCGGTGATATTTTCATGCGTCTCTTGTCGGCCGATTATGCCGATGGTGTCAGTCGTCCACGCACCTCCCATGGCAGACATGCTTTGCCAGATGCTGAATTTGTTATTGATCAGCTGCAAAAACACATCGATGGTGATTTAAGGCATCCCCATATCACGGCCATGTTACCAGCCTGGGGACAATTGTTGGCCAATGATTTGTACGAGGTCGCCCAACTGCCCATTGATGGCAAATGTTGTCGCAGCAGCCTGGAACGTAATCCCCATGAAATTGAACAGTGTTATGTGAGGTCTGGAGAAGATTGCAAGGAATATAGACGCTCGGCTCCTGGCTATGATGCTGAGACGTGCAATAAACGTAAGTTTGTCTAAAAAATATATATTTTTTTGAGATTTTATTTGACTGGCTTCCTTTTTCCAGATCAACGTGAACAAATGAATGTTGCCTCCGCCTACATTGATGCTAGCGGCCTGTATGGCTCGACCATGAAGGAATTCCATGACATCCGTACCTTCATCAGCGGTGGTGTTAAGGTGGAATCTTGCAAATATTGCCGTGTCCCCGGTGCCACTGGCGCCTTACATCGTGCCTTGTTGCAGGAACACAATAAAATCGCCGAACAATTGACTCACTTGAACACCGATTGGTCTGAGGAAGATGTCTTCTTGGAAGCTAGACGCATTATTATTGCCCAAATTCAACACATTACCTATAATGAATTTTTGCCTTTGGTTTTGGGTCAGGAGACAACAGCCAAGGAAGGTTTGAGGTGAGTCCAAAACTATACGATATGTTGTATATGTTTCTGATAATTTTTTGTACTTCAGAGTATATGTAAATGATCCTCGCCTTAACTTAGATTGAGAAAGTGGTTTGTACTCTCTCATAAAAATCGTTTTAAAACAAGTAGACAAAAGTCTCCATATTCCACATATTTGTCATCATATTCCACTAATATTTGCCAGTAATATGCCAACGACACTATAACCTAAAATGCATTAATTCCAAGGAACCTTAAATCGATTATTTAAATGTAAAACCAGTCTCATATTTTTAGTTCTCATTTAGTTATCAAATCGAGATTTTTGTTCACAACATTGTCAGGAGGATACTAGTATAGCCATTGTACAATGAATACACATCCAATTTTTCAACGTCTCCATATGTAAACCTAAAAACCAGCAGAGACCTCAATATCGAATTTTAGAACTTCCCTTCACTCAATATCAAATGTAATAATATTTAGTACGCATATCCAAAACCACCTCTATATCTCAATCCAGTATGCCAACAAAGACCTCTATATAAAATTTCGGGATTCCAGGTCTATACATTAACTCAATACAAAATTTAGTACTTTTCGTGCAACCATAGTAGGCATTTCCACCCCCACTTCCATATCTCAATTCCAGGTACTAACAGTAACTTCAATATCAAAATTCAGGATTTCAGCTGTGTAATTTCCCCCCATTACAAAAATTTAGTACCATTTAGTACAATTATCATACGTATGTCTAAAACCAACTCCTTATCTCAACCACAAACACCGATGGCGATATCCATATAAAATTTCTATTCCTTCACCCAATACCAATACAAGATAGGATAGGACGCATTTCTGAGCCAACGCCTGATCTCAATCCTATTTGTGGCAATATAAAATTTCACGGTTTCAGGTCTATACCTTTACCCAAATTTAGTTCAATTTAGTACTTTTCGAACAATTATAGTACGCATTTCCAAACCCACCTCTAAATATACAATCAATCAGTGTAGTAGTAAAGATTTTCGAATCCACCTCAATATGTCCAGGCTACACATGGACACTGACACTAATACCAAATTTCAGATTTCAAGCACCCAATACAAAATTTGAAAGTTCCAGCTTTATCCGTACACCCTAAACCAAACTGTTCCAAATTTAGTGAAATTTGTTACGAAATTTCAAAAGTTTCTATCCTATCCCCAATCCTACACTCCAACAGTAATTTTAATTCCAAATTTCAGGATTCCAACTCTATCAGCTTACCCAAATCCAAATTATACCAGATTTTGTACATTTTAATACATATTAGTATTACCTACATCATACAATCCAATATCAATTTTATTTCCAAATTTCAGGATTCCATCTCTACCGGTTCTCTCAAAATTTAAATTGTACCAAATTAAGTACCATTTAGTATACATATGTACGAATTTCCGACATACTCCAATCCTACGACAAAACAGTTATAATATTTCCAAATTTCAACATTCCATCTCTAGCGGTTCTCCCAAAATTTGCGTGCATATAAGTACGAATTTCGAACTCTACCTCCAAATCCCAATTCTACACTCAGCCAGTAATAGTAATTTCAAATTTCAGGATTCCAGCTCGATCCGTTCCACCAAATTTAAATTGTATTAAATTTAGTACCGTTTATTACTTTTCGTATACACGCGTACACACTTCCAAAACTGCCTCCCTACATCGACTTTACTCCTCAACCTTGATTTCCATTTCAAATTTCAAGTTTTTGGAGTTAGAGAACCATTCACATGATACGAAATGGTAATAGAAATTTAGTACATTTTGTAAACTTATTGTGCGAATTTCCAAAAACCCTTTGGTACATCTATCATACACTCCATCAATGACCCTCATTCCAAATTTAAGAGTTATAGCTCTACTGCTTTCCCAAATGCCCATATTTAGTAACTTTTCGTAACGTTCTTATATGAATTTTCAAAATAAAATCAGACTTATCTTATCCCTTCGGCCCTAGATTGGGCCTCTTCCAAAAATTTTAGGATTCTAGCTTCAGCCGTTTCGTTAAGTCAGTCAGTATATTAGTTTACCCTTTAATTAATATAAATTGTGCCGATCACCTGCTCTTGGTTAGCTGCATATTCTTTGATATTTATATGTTTCAAAAAAATTGAAAGAAAGGATTTTTATACCCTCCACCATAGTATGAAGGGTATATTAAGACATTCCGTTTGTGAAACCTGGAAATATACATTTTAAACTCCACAAGGTGTATATATTCTTGATTAGCATAAAATTCTATGTCGATTTAGCGATGTCCGTCCGTCTGTGGAAATCACTCTAGCTTCCGAACTAAATGAAGTAGGTTGATAAAAAAAAAATTATTTACCGGAATTGTTTCAAATTTGGTATTTGAAGTTCGTAATGGGTACTACAGTCTAAGACAGAAAATTGTCTGTGCAGGTCCACGTTTTCATATATCCCCCATATAATGGTACCTCCCGATATTCGGTATTTTGATGATTTTAGCGACATTATTCACCGGAATTGTTTCAAATTTGGTGTTTGAAGTTCGTAATGGATACTACAGCCTATGACAGAAAATTGTCTGTGCAGGTCCACGTCTAGCCCCAATATAACGGTACCTCCCTATATTCGGAATTTTTATGATTTTAGCTACATTATTCACCGAATTTTTTATTCGAGATTCGCATTTGAATTTTGTAATGGTTTATGACAAAAGTTGCCTATGCAGGTCCTCGTCGTCGTTTAGACCCTAATATAACAGCTACATTCGATATTTTGAAGATTTCAACAGAATTTTCAACGGATTTAATTTTTTTGAAAATTGCCAAAATCTTTCCAAATTGTGGAAGGTGTTCAAAAATCGGCCCGGCCGAACGTACTGCTTTTTTACTTGTTATAGTTACAAAACATACATATTTGTATGAAAAAAATTCTTTCAATCCTTGGTTCACTCAAAATTTCACGATTTTATTGAATTATTTATATTCTTATTTTCCAGACTTGCTGCTGAAAAACACTCCACCAACTATTCCAGTACAAATCGTGGTGGAATTTTCAATGAATTCGCCACCAGCGCCATGCCAGCTTTCCTCACCATGTATCCACCAGAGATGGTAAGATCTCTCTCTCTCTCTCTCTCTCTCTCTCTCTCTTCTCTTTAATTCATAACATTCATTATTAAATTCTCGTTTAATCTTTCACAGCTTTCCCACACCATGTCCGCTGCCCAACTACTGTCTGTACAGGCTTTGCAAAAATCCCTTTTACCCTCTACCGTCAACGAAGAAGGTTGGAGTGAGTTGGCCTTGGCCTTACATCGTGCCCGTGATCATGGCATACCAGCCTATGTTCATGCCTTGGATTTGTGTGAGAAACGTTTCGATGATAATGCCAATATTACTTTTGATAATTTGGCCAAATACTCGACCATTCCCGAAGAATATATTACCAATTTGAGGGATATCTATCAAAGTGCCAATGATATTGACCTATTGACTGGTGCTCTATTGGAAGATCCTGCCGTTGGGGCATTGTTCGGTCCAACCATTACCTGTCTGTTGACATTGCAATTTGAACATTTGAAAAAGACCGATCGTTTCTGGTATGAAAATGATATACCACCATCGTCGTTTACTTTGGAGCAGCTGAAGGCCATACGTCAAACCACATTGTCCGGTTTGTTGTGTGCCTCGAACCAGGTGGCCGAGGCTCAGTCGAAGGCCTTTATTGTCCAGGATAATTTCTTGTGAGTTTTGAGAATTTTCGAATTTGGAGGGACATTTTATGAATGGTTCTTGCTTTTCCAGGAATACTCTCTTGGGCTGTGACCAAATTGCCAAATTCGACTTGCGCCCCTGGCAATCGAATACCGATGAAATCGAAGCCATTGAACATGTCGAGGTTGAGCCTGAGGTAAAGGAAGTCATTAGTGAATTGAGTCCTGATCTCTTGGAGGCCGCTGTGGAGAGGGCAAAAATTGAGCTGGAAGAACGTAAACGTTTTGAATACGAATCCTGGTTGGCACGTAAGTTTGAGAAGGAATCTAAATTGGAAATGAGTTTTGAATTTGTTGTTGTTTTTTACAGAGGGTGGCATCAGTGCCAAGAGTCCTGATGGTGTGGCTGCCTCTTTCAGCAAGGCCAATCGCCAAGCCCTACTGCTGGCCAACTCTTCCTTGATCTATGAATTGGCTTCCAATGAAATTGTCAACACCCTGAACTCCATTAATCGCCGCAAACGTCAAATCTTCGATTCCAGTCTGAGCAATTTCAATCGCAACGACTTGACTGAAACATTGTCCACCATTGACATCACCAGCTTCTTGCCCACAACTCATCAGGCCACCAAGGAATGTGATGATCCTGCCGTGTCCTGTGATACTACGACACCTTTCCGTACCATGACCGGTTATTGTAACAATTTACGTAATCCCAGCTGGGGTAAGGCCTTGACAACCTTCTCACGTCTCCTGCCGGCCCAGTATGATGATGGTGTCTCGAAACCAAGATTGTTGGCTGTCACCGGTGCCCCCTTGCCCAATCCCCGTACCGTGTCAACTGTCATTCATCCTGATATTTCCAATTTGCATACCCGCTACTCGCTCATGACTATGCAGTTTGCCCAGTTCATTGATCACGATTTGACCATGACACCCATTCACAAGGGTTTCCACGAATCCATTCCCAGTTGTCGTCGCTGCAATTCTCCCCAGACTGTGCATCCTGAGTGTAATCCCTTCCCAGTGCCACCCGGTGATTATTATTACCCTGAAGTGAATGTGACAAGTGGTGAACGTTTGTGCTTCCCCTCGATGAGATCTCTGCCTGGTCAATTGACCCTGGGTCCTCGTGATCAGATCAATCAAAATACCCACTTCTTGGATGCTTCCATGATCTATGGTGAAAATCCCTGTGTGGCCAATCGTCTGCGTGGCTTCTCTGGCCGTTTGAACTCCACCATCCATCCCATACGTGGCAAGGAATTGTTGCCTCAAACCAACTCCCATCCTGAGTGTAAATCACGCAATCGCCTGTGCTTTGATGGTGGTGATGATCGTGCCTCCGAACAGCCAGGTTTGACTGCCATCCACACCATATTCTTGCGTGAACATAATCGCATTGTTGAGGGTCTGCGCGGCGTCAATCCCCATTGGAATGGTGATCAGTTGTTCCAACATGCCCGTCGTATTGTCAGTGCCCAGGTCCAACACATTACGTTCAACGAGTTCTTGCCACGTATTTTGAGTTGGAATGCTGTAAATTTGTATGGCTTGAAGTTGTTGCCCCAAGGCTACTACAAGGACTATAATCCCTCATGCTCTCCGATTATTTTCAATGAATTTGCTGCTGCCGCTTTCCGTATTGGTCATTCGCTGCTGAGACCTCACATTCCTCGTTTGAGTCCCCAACATCAGCCCGTTGATCCTCCAATTCTGTTGCGTGATGGTTTCTTCAAAATGGATGCCATGTTGCAGGTAATTGCTGTTGGGTTTACTCGAATTGAAATTTTGAGAAACAAAATTAATTAAATAATTTTTATTTTTAATTTTAAAGCCCGGTATTATTGATGAAATTGTTCGTGGTCTGGTTGCAACTCCCATGGAAACCTTGGATCAATTTATCACTGGCGAGGTAACCAACCATTTGTTCGAAGATCGCAAGATTCCCTTCTCTGGTGTGGATTTGATTGCCCTAAATATTCAAAGAGGTAAGGATGTTTTTTCTGATTTTTTCATCTTTTTGGAATGTTAATAAAATAATTTGTTCGAGGTCAATTTTTTGTTTTTTTTTTATAGTTTTCCAATATTTTTTTATGAATAAACAAAAAATAAATTAATTAAAAATATTAATTCATTTCCAGGTCGCGATCATGGTCTGCCATCGTACAACAACTATCGTGCCTTGTGTAATCTGAAACGTGCCACCACCTGGAATGATTTGAGCCGTGAAATTCCCTCTGAAGTTATTGCCCGTTTCAAGAAAATCTACCCCACCGTGGATGATATTGATCTATTCCCTGGTGCCATGACAGAGAGACCGTTGCAAGGTGGCTTGGTTGGCCCTACGTTGGCCTGTATCATTGGTATTCAATTTAGACAGTTGAGAAAGTGTGATCGTTTCTGGTAAGTTGTTTGGAAATTTTGGAAAATTAAAAGTAGATTTATTTTTTTTTTAATTTTTAGGTACGAAAATCAAAATCCCGAAGTGAAATTTACCGAAGCCCAATTGGCTGAAATCCGCAAGACAACATTGGCCAAGATTTCGTGTGAGAATTTGGAAATTGCCGGTGATATGCAACGTGCTGCCTTCGATTTGCCCAGTAATTTCTTGTAAGTAGCTAAAACAGGCAATGTAGGATTTTAGGTATTCAAACAGGACAATAGCTGCTAAAGTTATCAATGATTTTTCAGAAATATTTAGGATCTATTTGACATGTTTCCGTTTTTTCATGTTTGTATGAAAACACAATTTATTTACAAAACAACAATAAATGGCAATTCTTAAACGGAGGCAATGCAGCAAGAGCTATGGACCACCAATCCTCACTAGCTCCCTTGATTTTGTCTGAGGATAATCTTAAAAATTCAGGTGTTTCAAATTTGGGCCTACTTTAAAATATCCCTGGTTCCATGTCCCATTTCTAAGCAAAGTGTTGCTCATAAATTGCCTACCTCTCCACCAGCCTGCTTGCTGAGGGGTTTTATGAATTAATCAAATATTTCACCCTTGTCAATTCTTATTAAAAACGTATTTGAAAAAGATTTCACTAACTTCATATACGTTTCTCAGGAAGTCCTCTGTGCATTGCTTTGAAGGTCCTTCAGAAATGTTTTAAAAAAATCATTGATTTTCCTTTATAAAATGTTCCTTAAAAACTTAGGTTAAATGCTTAAAAGGTCCTGAGATTCCGAGTATATAGCTCTGAAAGTTTCCGAAAAATACAGGAATCTTGCTTCGAAGGCCCTTCAAAAATATTCCTTAAAGGTTCTATATTATACCTTAAAATATGTCCTGGAAAAATCAAGATTCTTTGTTTGAAGGTCCACAATTCTCATTTACAAAATTTTCACCAAATTCCGGTTTATTCAGGATGATCCTTTAAAGTCTTCCTAAATAATCCACCCAAAAAGAAGTCAAAAATGCTCCCCAAAAGTTCAAGATAATCGTTCACAAAATGATGGTGATTCTTTCATTGAAGGTCTTCGCCAAAAAAAAAAGATCAAGAACGTTCTTCAAACCGTTCTCCTGCCTCAAAAATTCAAGATTTTTGAATTAAAGGTGCTTCAGGGATGTTCCTCATTATGATTTGAACAATTCCTTAAATACATTCAAGTTTTCGTTCAAATGTGTTCCTCAAACCCCCTTTCCTTTAAAAAGTTTTGCATAAAAAATAATAGGTATTCTCATGGGTATTCAAATGGACCATAAATGGACCACCTAATGCCAAATATAGTACCCATGTATTTTTATGAACAAACAATATTTGTTTGGCCCAAGGACGAACCCTATTCAAATTGGTGAGAATCGGTTCAAATGTAAATATAGCTTCCACATATATCTTCAACCGATTTTGACTTAATTTTGCACCAAATGGCTTATATCATTCCAATGACCTGGATTTTAACACATCCGACGAAATTCAGTTCAGAAGCAAGTAAATCAAATTTAGTGAAAATCGGTTCAGATATAGCTATAGCTCCCATATATATGTACACCATGTAATATGTACACCACAAAAATGATATTTGGTACCAGATATCATATACAGTCCAGAAATATCTCTGCCAAATTTTTACAAGATCGGTTCAGATTTGGATGTAGCTCCCATATGTATCTTCAACCGATTTCGGCTTAAAAGTGCACCAAATGGCCTATATCAGTCTAAATGACTTGAATTTTGGCACATCCGACCGAATTCAGTCTAAAAGCAAGTACAGCAAACTTGGTGAAAATCGGTTCAGGTATAGCTGTATCTCACATATATACATATGTTTCATCCGATTTGGTGTTTAAGTCACTCACAATCGTAATATGCATTCGACAACAATGATATTTGGTATCAGATATCTTATAGAGCTATAGCCTTTGCCAAATTTTATCGAGATCGGCTAAGATTTGGATATAGCTCCCATGTATATCCATAATCCGATTTCAGGTTTATTGTGCAAATAATGGCTAATATCAGCCCAAATGGAGCGAAGTTTCCATTTAATGGAACTCGGCTCTGACATAATTTTTTTAATATAATCCTTCTCGAAGTGATATCAAAATATAAAAATGTATCCGTCAAATTTAGTGAAAATCGATTCATTATTGAATATGCCTCCCATATATAAGTTCCCTCTGAAACCAAACTATAACTGCTCTAAAGCCAAATGTTGATAAGTGGTAGAATACACTTCAAATAAATTATTTTGTTACGGGAGCTGTAATAAATATGCTTAGTGGTGTAGGGTATCATGTAGTCGGCCCGCTCAAATTTTAACTTTTCCTTCCTGGTATCAAAATTTTAAGTTTTTAGCTCTATCCGTCCGCATAATACCAAATGATAACATTTTGGAACTTTAGTGCCATTTTAGATCTTTTCATAACCTTAAAGTTCGAATTTCCAACAACCCTTTTGTACATCTATCCTGCATTCTATTAGAGACTCTCGTTCCGAATTTCAGGATTCTAACTTATTTCTTATTAAATTTTTAGTACATTTATTTACTTTTCGTACCCTTGTTTTACATGTCTTTTATGTCTCACCTCTAATTGAAATTTTCCAGATCATGACCAGAAAATTGTCGCACTGTGCTATTATTGCCTTGATAGTCTTTCCTATAAATTTAAAATTTATAATTTTTTTAGGAAACCAATTTTTTTGGGTTATAGTCCTTTAAAAATATTTTTTTAAATATCGAATATAGACCTTTTAAACCCCAAAATAATTGCTCTACTAACTAATCCAAATTTACTTAAAAAATACTTTAAAAAAACATTTTTGAAAACTCCACGATTAAATTAATAACAATGTTATTCTAATACACTAAAAATACTCCTTAAAATCCAAGCCTGTTGCTCTGATAGTTCTTTAAAAATGTCCTTCAAAAATATATTCTTTAGAAAAGCATGACTATTGACCTACTCGTCTTTTAAAACTGTTATTTAAAATCCACGACTTCACAGTTCTATAAAAATATTGTTTAAAAAATCCGCGATTTTTGACCAGATAGTCCCATAAAACACTTATAACAGAAGTTCACAATTTTTTCCCTGCTAGTCCTTAAGACTTTTGTTCTGATTGTTCTTCAATAATACGCTTTAAAATATAAAAATTGTCATTTTGTAATATTTTTATTATTATTTTTTTTTTTTTTTTTCAGAAATCCACGTGTCCCCTGCCATTCGATGCCACAAATCGATTTGAGTGCCTGGCGTGAAAATGTCCAAGGCTGTCAAATTGGAAATCGTCATGTAAGAGTTGGTGAATCGGCCTTCCCTTCGCCATGTACCAGCTGTGTTTGCTCCACCGAAGGAGTAAGTTATTCTCTTGAAGAAATTTAAAGACATCCCTTTTAATTATTTTTTTTTCTTCCGTTTAGGCCCAATGTGCATCGTTGCGCATCACAGACTGTGGCCAGCTGATTCGTCAATGGCCCAAGGAAGCCATTCTGCGCGATGAAGTGTGCAATTCACAGTGTGGCATCTATTTGACGGGACAAAATGGTGGCAATTTCAATGCCCAGGCAAGGCAGGGTGCCTCAGTGCCGCCCTCACGTGTGCAACGTTCCAGACCACAAAACCTCTTCAAGTTCCCCGATTTGACACCATTCATAGCATCATTGTAAATTAAGGAACACATTATTTTTATATAAATATCCAAAAAATATACATAAATGTAATTTTAAAAAATACTATTCCTTTACAAAAACAGCAACAACAACAAAGTCTTAAACGAGAAACAACAAAATCCAATAAGTCCGCCATTAGTTTGAATAAAGAGCGCAGCGAAGAAGTTTATCTAGTTTTCGAGCCGAAACAAAATTTAGAGGCTTTAAAACGTCGTTCTTAACCAATATATATTTTTTTCCTTAGAAAACTAAATAATATTTTATTTTTTGTTTATCTACTACGAACGATAAATATTTTTAACTAATGTAAATAATTTAATAAAAAAAAAACAAAATAAATAATATTGTTAGAAAAAATATGTATGTAAATAATGTTTCTGCCAAAAAAACAAAAAAAAACTAAATAAAATATTTGGCACAAACAAAAAACGGAAATGACTTTAGGAATCTTGAAAATTATTTCCCATAATTAAAAAAAAATTAAATAAAAAACTTTTTTTAACTAATTGTTATAAAACTTTAAAGACTTATTTTGTATGAATGCACTTTTTGATACCCAATTCTCTTATAAAAAAATCCCAATATTCTAAAGTTAAAGTTATTAAATGTTATGTTTTTTTTTTAATTTCCAATTGCCTTACATAAAGTTCGGAATTTTACTGGTTTTTTAATAATTTTGTTTTCAACTCTTTCCATAGTTTTAATGACTTCATGTAAAAAAAATGTCTTTTATTCATTTTTCCTATAAAAACTGCCCACAATTTTTCCTAAAAATTTAAATTTTTTATTATTTTTTAGTTTTGTTTTTACTTATATAAAGAAAAAAAAAACCTATATAACGTTAATAGAAATCGCCTTTTTCTTATTAAACGAAAATAATATTGTTCCATTAGATTTCTATTGCATTTCTATTGCTTATTTATTAAAATAAATTATAAACGAAGTTGATGATGATGAAGATGAGTTAAACCTTTATATATATGTTATGTCAATGTCATTTAAGCGAACTTAATATATAAAAAATATTCTTATATTTGTATGTATTTGTTAGTATATCGATTTTCCACGAAAATTTAACAAATAAAGTTATTTTGTAAGCTCTAATAAAATGTTTGGAGTTTTATTTAAAGTTAAAAGTCACGAAAACGGTAAGATTTTTGCACAACAAAAAGTATTTTTGAAATTTTAAGATTTTATTTAAAATCTGATAGTCCTTAACAAATATTGTTTAAAAAATCCACGATTACTGCTCTGATAGTCTTCAACAAATATTCTTTATAAAAACAACGATTATTGCTCTGAAAGTCCTTAACAAATATTCTTTAAAAAAAATCTTTAAAAAATCCTCGATTATTGCTCTGATAGTCCTTAACAAATATTCTTTAAAAACATTCTTTAAAAATTCAAGATTATTGCTCTGATAGTCCTTTAAAACTATCTTTAAAAAATTCACGATTAAGAAGTCCTTTAAAAAATCCACGATTATTGCTCTGATAGTCCTTAACAAATATTCTTTAAAAACATTCTTTAAAAATTCAAGATTATTGCTCTGATAGTCCTTAACAAAAATTCTTTAAAAACATTCTTTAAAAATTCAAGATTATTGCTCTGATAGTCCTTAACAAATATTCTTTAAAAACATTCTTTAAAAATTCAAGATTATTGCTCTGATAGTTACTTAAAATTATCTTTAAAAAATCAAGATTATTGCTCTGATAGTTATTTAAAATTATCTTTAAAAAATTCACGATTAAAAAGTTCTTTAAAAAAATCCACGATTAAAATGTCCTTTAAAATAATCTTTAAAAATCCACGATTAAAATGTCCTTTAAAATAATCTTTAAAAATCCACGATTAAAAAGTCCATTAAAATAATCTTTAAAAATCCACGATTAAAATATCCTTTAAAATAATCTTTAAAAAATCCACGATTAAAAAGTCCATTAAAATAATCTTTAAAAATCCACGATTAAAATGTCCTTTAAAATAATCTTTAAAAATCCACGATTAAAAAGTCCATTAAAATAATCTTTAAAAATCCACGATAAAAAAGCCCTTTAAAATAATCTTTAAAAAATCCACGATTAAAAGGTCCTTTTAAATAATCTTTAAAAAATCCACGATTAAAAAGTCCTTTAAAATAATCTTTAAAAAATCCACGATTATTGCTCTGATAGTCCTTTAAAATAATCTTTATAGTCCTTTAAAATAATCTTTAAAAAATCCACGATTATTGCTCTGATAGTCCTTTAAAATAATCTTTATAGTCCTTTAAAATAATCTTTAAAAAATCCACGATTATTGCTCTGATAGTCCTTTAAAATAATCTTTATAGTCCTTTAAAATAATCTTTAAAAAATCCACGATTAAAAAATCCTTTAAAATAATCTTTAAAAAATCCACGATTAAAAAGTCCTTTAAAATAATCTTTAAAAAATCCAAGATTATTGCTCTGATAGTCCTTTAAAATAATCTTTAAAAATCCACGATTATTGCTCTGGTACCCCTTTAAAATAATATTTAAAAATCCACGATTATTGCCCTGGTACCCCTTTAAAATAATCTTTAAAAATCCACGAATATTGCTCTGGTACCCCTTTAAAATAATCTTTAAAAAATCCACGATTATTGCTCTGATAGTCCTTCAACAAATATTCTTTAAAACATACACGATTATTATTCTGATAGTCCTAAACAAATATTCTTTAAAAAATTCACGATTATTGCTCTGATAATCCTTAACAAATATTCTTTAAAAAATCCACGATTATTGCTCTGATAGTCCTTAACAAATATTCTTTAAAAAATCCACGATTATTGCTCCGATAATCCTTCAAAAAATAATCTTTAAAGAATCCACGATTATTGCTCTGATAGTCATTGAAAATAAACTTTAAAAAATCTACGATTATTGCTCTGATAGTCCTTAACAAATATTCTTAAAAAATCCACGATTACTGCTCTGATAGTCCTTAACAAGTATTCTTTAAAGAATCCACGATTATTGCTCTGATAGTCATTGAAAATAATCTTTAAAAAATCCACGATTATTGCTCTGATAGTCATTGAAAATAAACTTTAAAAAATCCACGATTATTGCTCTGACAGTCCTTAACGAATATTCTTTAAAAAATCCGCGATTATGGCTCTGATAGTCCTTAACGAATATTCTTTAAAAAATCCGCGATTATTGCTCCGTTAGTCCTTAACAAATCTACGATTATTGCTCTGATAGTCCTTAACAAATATTCTTAAAAAATCCACGATTATTGCTCTGATAGTCCTCAACAAATATTCTTTAAAAAATCCACGGTTATTGCTCTGATAGTCCTTAACAAATATTCTTTAAAAAATATACGATTATTGCTCTGATAGTCCTTAACAAATATTCTTAAAAAATCCACGATTATTGCTCTGATAGTCCTCAACAAATATTCTTTAAAAAATCCACGGTTATTGCTCTGATAGTCCTTAACAAATATTCTTTAAAAAATCTACGATTATTGCTCTGATAGTCCTTAACAAATATTCTTAAAAAATCCACGATTATTGCTCTGATAGTCCTCAACAAATATTCTTTAAAAAATCCACGATTGTTGCTCTGATAGTCCTTAACAAATATTCTTTAAAAGAAATCTACGATTATTGCTCTGTTAGTCCTTAACAAATATTCTTTAAAAAATTCACAATTATGGCTCTGACAGTCCTTAACGAATATTTTTTAAAAAATCCACGATTACTACTCTGATAGTTTCTAACAAATATTCTTTGAAAAATCCACGATTATTTCTCTGATAATCTTCAACAAATATTCTTTATAAATTTCGCGATTATTGCTCTGATAGTCCTTAACAAATATTTTTTAAAAAATCTACGATGAAGCAAACCAACTATAATTTATTTGCTTATCTTACTTTACTTTTATATTTTCAACAATGAATTCCACTAATTGCTTAGTTTATATATTTTATTACATTACGTTTTAACTAATCTGTGTAAATATTTGAATTCAACGGTTAAAATGTAACCATGTAAATAGTACCATAAATTCACATCTCTGATCCCTACTACCTTTTTAAGCTACTCTAATTTTAAGCAGAGAAAATGTATATAAAAGGAGAATGATTTTACATGAAATCATCCATTCTTGTAGTGATCATCAAATGCTTAACATCAAGTTACCCACGCTTGCCCAAGTTGATGGAATTGATAATAAGCTGAAAATAATCACAAATAAAGAATAGTTCCATTTTTTTAAATAAACAACGTTGGTGTTTTATTGCATGAAGCCGTACAATCTACGCCAACGTCGTGTTTCAACGATTATTACTCTGATAGTCCTTCAAAAAAATAATCTTTAAACAATCCACGATTATTGCTCTGATAGTCCTTAACAAATCTTCTTAAAAAATCCACGATTGTTGCTCTGATAGTCCTTAACAAATATTCTTTAAAAAATCTACGATTATTGGTCTGACAGTCCTTAAGGAATATTCTTTAAAAAATCCGCGATTTTTGCTCTGATAGTCCTTAACAAATATTCGTTAAAAATCTACGATTATTGCTCTGATAGTCCTTTAAAATAAACTTTAAAAAATCCACGATAATTGATCTGATAGTCTTTAATAAAAATTGTTTAAAAGAAATCTACGATTATTTATCTGTTAGTCCTTAACAAATATTCTTTAAAAAATCCACGATTATTGCTCTGATAGTCCTTAACAAATATTTTTTAAAAAATCCACGATTTCACAGGTCTTTAAGTTCCGGGCCATATATATATATATATATCATCAAATATTGAAACCCAAATTATCATCTAATTTGGTTGGAAATTGTGTCAGAAACCCTCTAAAAATCGGGAAGTATCATTATATGGCGGCTAAAACAATTTCCAGCATTTAAATGTGAATAAATCTTTTGTGTCTCGTACCATCGCTCGTTACCGTGATACTGGTAGCGTAGCCCGACATCAAGGATGTGAACCGAAGAAAACAGCAACACCAGCAAAATGGTTCGAAAATTAACGAAACGACTTGATCGAAATCCGTGTCGCAGTGGCCGAAAAATTGCTCGTGAGCTGAACATATCGTAATCTTCCATTCGGCAAATATTGAAAAATGAGCTAGGTGTAAAGCCGTAGGTGATTCGTAGAATCGTAAACACTCATATAAGACTCATAAATGACTCGAATTTAAGACAAAGGGGACTTAAAAAAGACTCCTAAATGAGTATACATATGAGTGACATATGGCTCTTAAAAGACTAATAAATTACTTACTAAAGACTCGAAAAAGATTAAGAGTATTAGCTCAATAAATGATTAGAAAACGACTCGTAGAACGATCAGAAAATGATCGAAAAAGACTCTTAACTAATCTAGAGGAAGACTCATATGTGATTTATTTTGAAGAGTCGCGGGAGGTAACGTTTTTCTTCCGACAAATGAGTATTTTATGGTCAGAAAATGCGATTATATTCCAGCTTTTTAATCGCGCAACCGAATAAAAAAAGACTCGAATGTATTAAAAAATTCAAAAAATGCTGACTGGGTAAGATTTTAGGGGCCAATCGAAAAATTTAATTAAAACTGAAAGAAAATCAAAGCAACACAAACTGGTTCATAATATTTGGATGATTTACGCATATTTTCCAACTGATTTGCATGTTTAGGTTAACCCCCCTTATTTTTTATACCCTCCACTATACATAGTATGGAGGGTATATTAAATTCGTCATTCCGTTTGTAACTCATCGAAATAATCATTTTAGACACAACAAAGTATATATATTCTTGATCAGCTTAGAATTCTAAGACGAGTTAGCCCTATCCGTCTGTCCGTTTGTTGTAATCACGCTACAGTCTAAACGAATTAAGATAGGAAGCAACAATTTTGCACAGATCTCTCTTTTGTCTGCAGGCAGGTCAAGTTCGAAGTTCACGCTACAGTCTAAACGAATTAAGATAGGAAGCTAAAATTTTGCACAGATCTTTTTTTTGTCTGCAGGCAGGTCAAGTTCGAAGA